CCACCCCTTCTTTGTAAAGATAGTTTGGCATGTCATGTCGGCTGTGCTCACTGCATGAACCATTTTTTCGCCATCGCTCGTATTTGAATGTTTGTTGTTAAATGTAGCTCGAGGGGAAGGCTTGGTTGTTGGCGCGCTTTGGAGGGAGTCTCGTCTCGAAGGCAGGCAGGCGTACGTCACCAAGACACGTGGAAACGATTGCTCCGACGTGATTGCAGTGCATTGTCCCTTGTGTGTTTCTCGTGGTTTCAGGCAAGAGGAGGAAGGGCAGGAGGGGGAGGAGGGGGAGGAGGCGGAGGTCGCTGTAAAGGTGCTAACGTTACGAGATATGAAGAACTGGAAGCAGCTGGATCTGTTTCAGAGGGAGGCTAAGGTGCTCAAGGGCTTGAGGCATCCGGGGATACCCAGGTAGGCAGGCAGGCAGGTTGGCAGACTCCACCCAGACTAGCAGACCGCGGATGGCAGAAGAAGAACAGTGGGCCCAAGGCACGCCCGTAGTAGGCTTGATGGCCGATCTGACGGAAAGCGCCAAAAGATCGAGCACGTGACCAGCAACCTCCCTCATGGCAGGCAGCAAACATAGATCGCCGAGGGCGTCATCGGAGAATACGCATCTTTAAACCGCATGGGATTGTAGCGTTTAGAAATCTTCATAGGGGATAAGGGCGACCTGGGTTCGGGGGGTGAATCAGACGCATCGGTGGCCGCCGGCCCTACTAATGTACTGGTCTCATATCTGCAGGTCTGCGGTACGGGTGTTGGAAGGCGCAGCTGTTTCTCGCTGCCGCCATGTGCTCGACACGTTGCTTTTGACGCCGGTCCAAAGCCCATGATGCACGGGCCGCCTCTGTCAGACAGTGGTTATATGTTTCTCCCTCTATTTATGTTTGCTCTCCCAGGAACCGTACGTTTCCACAACCCGCGTGTTCAGCAGGGAAACGAGCTCCTGTGTAGCTGTAGTCTCTCGAGGACCAGCATCCAGAGCATTGAATGCTCAAGGGGGCGAACAATGTACGTTTATTTTGTTCCACACATGCACCCTAAAGTGAAACATGCGTTTGTAGACGAGAACGCCATCCTCCGGGAATACCCCCGTTTTTTCCGTCCGCCCACACCACCAAACCTGCAGCGTTTGCCCCAAAGCAAGCCCCCCTCCCCCCAGAAGTGTACGGAATGTTGAAGGAAGGAATAGGGTTCAAGGACTACCTACATGGACCAATGGATGCAGGAACAAAGCTTAAGGTCAAATTCAGGACCGGGGACATAGGCCTTCGAGAACGTCGACGAAGACATAGGACGGTAGACGAGGAAGACGACGAGTTCAAATGTGATTGCGGCTTCGAATGCGAAGACCGTGTTCATATAGTCGCGGAATGTCCGTTGTACAAGAAGGAGAGGGAAGTGTACGTGACTGAGCTGGGAAAAATAGATGGAACGTACAGGGAGATGTTTGAGGCATGGAATAGAGAGGAAAGGACGGTAGCTGTAGTGGGGTATAGGAGGTGGGTTGAAAAGGCGGGAAGGGATATCGTTAGGATAGACTGAGAAAGACATATTTGAGCCACCTTTGGCAAAAGAGAAAGGAACGATTGGCCATCGGTGATCGGTCCTGTGGGAACAATGCTCCGTCCTC